TAATATATAATATATAACACATAATATATAATATAAATTTATTAAGATTTCAATTTGTTTCGAATCCTTAACAATGACTAGTAGTCGATGTAGGGTGCGAAGGTGTATATAAAGGGTGTGAGGACAATTCGCTAATGCAGTTAGTCAGTAGCCTCGATACATAACGGAATGGCAGAGATCGAAGGAAAGTCGCGTATTGCAATTATCGGAGGCGGTTTGGTGCGTCAGATTATATCACAAAAATACATAAATTTTCTACTTTTTTAATTTGATTTTGGTGCAAAAAGGACGTGAAAGAAAAAGATTGTCTTCGTTGCAGGTTGGAGCATTAGCCGCGTGTTTTTTCGCTAAAAGAAATCATCAGGTAGTCATCTATGAATATCGGTCAGGTAAAGGACATTGGAAATTATATTAAAATCTCAGAATTTCTCGTATAATTATTGATTTTATCATAATTTATTGTCTGAAATTCATATATTCTCTCGTTATTCATCATAACAGTCAATAATACATTGATGTGCAGGCTCACATGACGCTTTTTCATCGATATAATTAATAAAAAACGTTGATAAAGTTTAGCTACACGACTTTCTAGATAGGCTATACTTGTAATCTGCGAAATGTTGGATATTAGAATATTTTCGGGATTTTTTAATTCACATCAATTCGATGTTTGTGATTTTGAGTCTTGAAATCTTTAGATTTACGAATGGAAGATTCATCTGGTCAAAGTATTAACCTAGCGCTATCATTTCGCGGCCGAGAGGCTCTAAGGGCGGTTGGTCTTGAAGATATTTTGGTGAAACAGCACGGTACCTGCATGCGCGGCAGAATGCTTCACGATAAGAATGGCAATCTGAAAGAAGTCCTTTACGATAGTGTCAAAGGAAATGTGAGTTTACGTTGATCAATTTATTACTTGGAACTATCGAAATGTCTCGTGCGTAACTTTCTGTATCCTTTATACATTTATGCGCATCGACACGTTAATTGTCTATTTTGCAGTGCATCTACTCCATTAGCAGGCGACATCTTAATAAGATTCTATTGGATGGTACGACCAATTTTTATAATACTCGAAGTATAAATTTGAACGATTTATCAAATGATTTTTAACATATAAATTACAAAGCGGTAATTTTACATAAAGAAATAAATTAAAAATGCGGAATAAATATGTTGTATACAAAACTTCTCTCATAAAAAAGGCGGCTTTAAAAATTAAATACAATACGTTTCTCTTAGAATTTTTTCGTCTCTGTAAAACTAGTTTCGATCTTTACTCAGGTTCTCCTTGGTCAACGGTTGATTGCCTATCGTTGACTAAGGAGCACTTAAGTAAAAATCGAAACTAGTTTCATTATGGAAACGAAAAAATACTAATTGTAAGAAGAATGTACTGCGAATGCTTTCTAGCACACGTGGATAATGTATCTCTTTTCCTGTTTTCTCTCTTAATCGATCTTTTATTAATTTATTTTTTTTTAAATACCGCATTTCTCGATTATCTCATTTTAAATTATTTTAATTAAAGTTGACGATGGGACGCGAAACACAAAAAGAACTATTTTTTTATCAAGTCAAGTTACAAGAGCTTCTATGTCTGCATGATATCTGGTGACGAGGTGTGCATGAAGCCGCAAGAATTTCGCGCGTATCCTCTTACTTGTGACCTCCCTCTTCCATAACGTAGACTTAAGTCGCGTGAGCATGATGTCGAGTAATCAGTTCGATGCAAAAAATAATTTAAGTAAATAATTTGAATCTTATTCTGCCGATTATATTTTATCGACAGCCGCGGAGAAATATCCAAACGTGCAAATAAATTTCAATAAAAAGCTCGTGGACGCCGATTTGGAGAAGGGAAAAATGAAATTTTTAAAGTAAGTGAGCACATCGTGACTCGGACGAGCGAGCGTTTTTATTCTGCTTAGCTATAACTCTTGTTTTTAGTATGAAAACGGGAGCGATAGAAAATACAGAGACTGATTTGATAATTGGCGCTGATGGTGCGTACTCGAAAGTACGAAAAATTATGGCCAAAAGACCGCTCTTTAATTGCTCTCAAACGTATATCGAGCACGGATACGTGGAACTTTCCGTGCCGTCTGGAAAAAATAACGAGGTGAGCGTCGCAAATAAATACATATCACGATAATTTCAATTGAATCGCATTCGTTTGACGTACGAATTTATGAGAATTTCTTGATTTAATTTTTAAAAGTTTGCGATGAGCGGTAACAATCTTCATATTTGGCCGCGTGGTGAATTTATGATGACCTCATTGCCGAACGAAGATCACACATTCACCGGCAATTTGTTCGCTCCTTTCCACGTGCTAGAAAAACTAAAGACGCCCGAGGCGTTGTTGAGATTCTGCGCTGAGTATTTCCCGGATCTTTTGCGACTAATCGGCGAACAGAGATTGGTGCAACAGTTTTTCGAAAAAGAACCGCAAACGTTAATATCGATTAAGGTTGATTTCCATTTTATTAGCACATTTCATAGTCGTTCGATTTATTCATTTGGATAAGTATGGTGATGCATCCGTTCATGCATTTTGCAGTGTAAACCTTATCATGTTGAGAAAACTGCTCTTATAGTCGGCGATGCAGCACATGCGATGGTTCCTTTTTACGCTCAAGGAATGAATGCTGTAAGTGATTTTATCGAATCGATAAAAAAATTTTATCAATTATCTTTCGCGATATTTTAATGCTTGGAAAAAAATATAATGCAATCATGCGCGATAATAATATATCTATGAAAAAAAATAGAATATTCTTTTAAAATATTCTTTATTCCATCAGGGGTTTGAAGATGTTTTATTGCTCGATGAATTAATGGAATGCTACAATTCGGACTTCACTAAAATTCTACCGAAATTTTCGGAATTACGATGCGACGATGGCCATGCAATATGCGACCTCGCAATGTATAATTATCTGGAGGTTTATTGATCGTAACAATATTTATCATTACTGCGTATCTGTCTGTTTTGATTTGAAAGAAATTGAGTACGTCTCCATATCTTTCAGATGAGAGATTTAGTGATGAGAAAATCTTTCCTTCTACGAAAATTTGTGGACAAAGTTTTGTACATGTTCAGTCCCAATTCCTGGATACCGCTTTATTCCAGTGTGCACTTTACTCGCATGAGTTTTCGCGACTGCATAGCCCATAAAGAATGGCAGGACAAGGTACGAGAGTAAGATAATGAAACGTAATAAAAGTCGTTCTAAGAAGTGATTTTTTTCATTATAGGTATTAAAAGTGAGTCTTTGGTGTTTTGGAATTTTTGTTATCGCCGTTTTAGCTATTTCTCTGTCGCAAAGTACCATATGAATGCGATCGCTTGTCAAATCCCATTTATAAGTTATGATCTAATGATAATAAAAATATAATTAATAAAACTATCTGAAAATCGTTTTTATAAAAAATTCTTTTTTTAATACTCTTGTAATCGCTTATGCGATTTTAGCATTGACATTTTCAATTATTCGATTTGCTCACGAACATTGCAATGTCTTCTATTATGTTTATTTATTATTATCTAGTTTACAAAATTTGGCTTTGTATATTTTTACAAAAAATAATTATTTTAATATATTTTAATTATGATTATCTTACGAGAATATCGCGAAGCAATAGATATTTGATACGTATTACAAAAATCACGTGATTAAATTTAATCAGTAAATTGTCTTGCGCCTGTTCATAAATTGTAACTTGATATTTAATTCTTATACTTTCACCACGAATTATCAAGAATTTTTATATTTAAATTGAATCGAATGAACGTAATAATATGTATGCACTAAATTATATTATATATATTTAAT